ATCACTGCGTCAACACGCCAAATGTCTTCGAGATGAAGGCAATCTCGAAGTGCTTAGAGAGGAAGTGGTTGAGAGTCTCGGATCTGTCTCCTGTGGACTCGCAGAGGGGATCTGGCCCCTCCCCCGGGCTGAGCAGAGCGCCAGATCAACCCCACTGGTCTTCTCCTTATCCCTCACCAAAGAAGACCCCCAGTACTGTGCGGTTGCGGAGCGACGGCAGCCCGGCTTTGCCCAGCGTGGCGGCGTCGCTGAGCCGGCGCGAGTTGGGCAGCTGCGGCTCCTCCAGAGCCTGATACACACCGTCGGCGTAATTGGCTGGTACGCGGCGCTGCAGCCGGGAGCCTGCGGAGGTAGGGAGCCGGGCGCTAAGCACTCCAACCCCAAGAATCCCCTAAACCTCGTCCTAGCCTCCCTCAACCCCTATCCCTCTTCTCAGACGGAACGGTCTCTATAGGGTCTCTTGGCCCCAGCAGCGCTGTGTAGACAGAGGAGCTGCTGGGCGAGTGTTCCCCGCAGATTCTCTGCTTAGAGGCTTCCAGCACCCGCGGCCCCAGGACGCACCAACAGCGCCACGCTCGTGGTGCCTCAGGTTGTTAAACCAGCCGTCGTAGCGCTGCACTTCCCAGGGCAGTGAGAGTGCGTCCTGTCCGCCTGTGGACACAGAGAAGGGCCTCCTCAGCACTAGGCTCCCAGGTACCCCTCCCGGACCCAACGGCCTCGGACCGCCCCTCCCCAACTCGAGGAGCGCCCCTAACCCGACCCAAGTGTCAGGCCGCACTAGGAAGTTTCCCATCCCGCTGAGCTGCGCAGTGAACTGACCTTCCAGTCTCAGGGAGCCGCTTGCCGCACTTTTCCCCTCCCTACCTCCCAGGGGATCCTGGGGGACACCCCGCAGCTAGAGGAGCCAGATACTTGCCCGCTGGATACAGGGATCCAATCAGCAGAGCTCCCAGGAACATCAGTGCCTCTTGTCTTGCACGGAGCATGCCAACCCTGCAACCTGCGGGGCGGGGGTGGGGGTGGTAGGTGGTATGTGAAGGCCACTATTAGGGTGTCCTCTATCCCTCCCCTTTCGTTCCTACAGAGGGAAGGAGGAGCGCCAGCTGTTTCCACTTCTGGAACGTAGCTGTTAGAAGCATCACTGAGGGCCTGCATCCAAACGCCACTCTTTTCAGGACAATTGGCAGCTGTGGAGGCCTGGACATTGTTCCCCATCCTCCACCCCCTCAGAGAATTAACCTCCGACCATAGGAACCCACTGGGCAGGAGTCTCCTGGGGCATTGGTGCGCCCAATGTCTCGAATGTATCACCTCCATCACTAGCACTAATCCGACAGGCTCCGCTTCTCCTCCAGGAGGTAGGGAAGGAAAAGAGGCTACTGAGTTGGGAGCTAAGGACCTGCAGCACCCTTCCGCAATGAATCCCCCTTCCCCAATGAACTCCCCTTCTGCAATGAACGCCTGTCCGTGATGAGCGAGGGCTAAGGTTCGGTCCCAAACTGATCTAACCTGTGGTTTATGGTGGTGTCGGGTTCAGATGTCTTCTTGCCTCTTAAAAATCTTCACTTCTGTGCTCTACTTCTTGCCTTCACCCCCGCTCCTCCAGCTCCGCTGATCCTCAGCCGCCCTGGCTGCACTCTCACCTTCCTCTCTGGGTCTTCGGTCTCACAGCCTCGCCGGTGTTGGCTCAGGACAGACCTGCGCCGAATCTGAGCATCTGGACCCAGGGCTCACCCTCCTGCTGTGCAGGCGGGGCCCTTATTTGCATAACCTCTTTCCGCTGGGACTCGGCCGCTGGGCTGGGACACCTGAGTGGCACGCCGCCCACGCTGCTATAAAAGGGGTCCCGCGCGACTTCCAAACTCAGCGCGAACCCGGAGAACCAGGAAAGTAACTGGCTACAGACAGTGAGAAATAGTTTCGCTCGCCAACTAACCAAACTCTGTCGGCATCAACCCCAGAGCGTTGGGAGCAGCCTGCCGCTACGTTTCCTTAGCGGAGAGGTGCAGAACTCAGACTTCACCAGCCCACTTGGTGCCGGCGTTGTACGCGAAGAGGCGCCAAGGACGCGCTCTCCAGCATCCAGGCAGCCCCAGCTTGCCGGCCTGCCTGCCCTCCTGCGTGCAGCTCTCGGCCACCCTGCAGCATGACCCTGTGGAACGGCGTACTGCCTTTTTACCCCCAGTCCCGGCATGCGGCAGGCTTCAGCGTCCCACTGCTCATCGTTATTCTAGTGTTTTTGGCGTTAGCAGCAAGCTTCCTGCTCATTTTGCCCGGGATCCGTGGCCACTCGGTAAGGGTGTCTTAGTAGTTCGCGTAGAGTGGGGGGAGTCGTCATGGGCAAATTGTCCCCTGAGGGACCCAGAACAGGTAAGACTGTGCAAGGGCCTCCATGAATAGTCAAACTGAGGCTCAGGTGGAGCGAAGTCAGGAGTCTGCTGCAGCAAGCACCCCTTCCCAAGGACAGGGAGAACTCCCCATCCAGCACATCCTGAAGAAGGACCCGAGTTGGGTCCTTGGGAAGGCTGCTGCAGAGAATGGGCACCCAGTCCAGTAATCCTGAGGCAGAGTCTAGACTTCATGTGCATCCAGGGCCTCCCACCTCTCCCAGGATGCAGCTGCACTCTCATCCCATCCTGAGGGTGATGACCTTCGAGCCAAGAGGACAGATGCCAGTAGCTCAGATTGCAGTGTTCCCCTTTGCACTGAGTCAAGACACACGTGTATGAGTACCCCATCCTAAGGAATGAGACTCCTACATTGGATTGGAAGTTGGAGCCAACTGGGTGCATTTTCTTAGAGTTCCCCTTCCCCCAGCGCCTAAGTTGTGCATTTTTCAATTCTGGAGGACCCAGCTTTTCTGCATATTAAACTGTTTTGGTTTCCCTGGAACTGGTACACCTAGGAGTATCTGCATTCCCACCTCCTCCACTTGGAGACCAGGCCCTGGGGCCTCCCTCTTCTGAGGGAGGTGACCCCTGCATGCCTAGCACTTCTGGACTAACTGAGCCTTACCAAGCAGTGACTGGACCAGGAGGCAGCTGGGGGAGTGAAGGTGGTGGAAGAGTACTAGAAGTGGGGGGTGAGGGGAAGGTGCTCTTAGGGTAGACAGAAAATGGGGCTAGGGTGGTGAAAGCACATGGTCACAAAACATCAGAAATGCCAGTAGTCCAGAGGGACTTGCAGGAAAAGCATGCCTAGCATTAGTCTCATAGGTCTGGATGTAACCAAAGATCCAGATGGAGTGGGGTCAAAGGTGGTCTTGGGGACTCTGGTTGGGCAGGGCTCAGGCCTGACCCGGGTGCCTATTCCTGCAGCGCTGGTTCTGGTTGGTGAGAATTCTTCTCAGTCTGTTCATAGGCGCTGAAATCGTGGGTGAGTGTGTGGTCCAGCCCGTGGGGAGAGGAGTGGGTGAGAACGGAGGTGGGCAGAGGACACCTGGGACAATAGGGAACTGGGGTTGGTTTTCTGCTCCCTCTTCCCTCTCTCCAGCTCTTTCTAGGGCCCACTTTTTGGCCCTTACCATGCAACCACATTGGACCTCTAAGTCCCCATCTCTCTGCAGTGTCCCACCTCCCATCACCACTCTCTAATTCCATTTTCCCACCTTCATCTCACCTTTCCCTACAGCTGTGCACTTCAGTGCAGAGTGGTTCGTGGGTAAAGTGAACACTGACACATCCTACAAGGCCTTCAGCGCAGAGCGCGTTAGAGCCCGCGTCGGTCTGCTCGTGGGCCTGGAGGGCATTAATATTACACTCACAGGTGAGGGGGCTGGGGCGAAGTGAACTCCTGGGGTTGGGAGATCCCTGGTTAGGAGAGTGTGTCAGGGATAGCTGAAGGGCCTCTCACATCCCACAAGCTCAAATAGCTTGTGGTCCTCCTGGGTCTGCGTTTTCTCCAACCACCATCGAACCCATTTCTCCCTCCGTGAGCGCCGCATCCCCGCTCTCCCATCTGAATCCGCTTAGTCGCGAGTTCTCCGACCGCGCGCAGCCGGTAAGCCCGCGGCACTCCGCAGGGACCCCAGTGCTGCAGCTAAATGAGACCATTGACTACAACGAGCAGTTCACCTGGCGTCTGAAAGAGAATTTCGCCGGGGAGTACGCTAACGCACTGGAGAAAGGGCTGCCGGACCCAGTGCTCTACCTGGCGGAGAAGTTCACACCGAGTAGCCCTTGCGGGCTGTACCACAAGTACCACCTGGCGGGACACTACGCCTCGGCCTTGCTGTGGTAAGCACTGGAGGGAAGGCCGTGTGCACGTGTGTGCGCCGGGAGCCGGGCCGTGTGAGCGGGAGGATGCAGGCCTCAAAGGCTCTGAGCAGCTGCAGCCAGACCAGACGCGCTAGGGGTGGGCATGACAGCCTCGCGGGTCAGAAGATCACGAGGCTTGCAGAGACCGTCGGAATCCAGAGAGACTCTAGCCACCGCCTGGAGCTCGGGAGCCCACTTCTCCCCCGGGGAATTCCCCTGCGCTGCAGCCATCCCAGCACCGGGCTTTGGCGCTGGGGTTGGGACCTAGGGGAGCGAGGCTTTGGGAACCCCGGCGGGCTGGGAGAAGCCCACTCACAGCCGGTCCCCCCACTCCCTTGCAGGGTGGCGTTCTGCTTCTGGCTCCTCTCTAACATGCTGCTCTCCACGCCGGCCCCGCTCTACGGAGGCCTAGCACTGCTGACCACCGGAGCCTTCGTGCTCTTGGCGATCTTCTCCTGGGCCTCCATCTCCACAGTGCCGCTCTGTCCGCTCCGCCTAGGCTCCTCCGCGCTCACCACTCAGTACGGTACCGCCTTCTGGGTCACGCTGGCAACCGGTGAGGACCGAGGGAACGGCAGAACGCCACCCTGCAGGGAACTGGGGGCACCAGCTGTGAGCGGGCTTCTCCAGCCCACCAGGGTTCCCAAAGCCTCGCTTCCCTTTGTCCCTACCCCAGCGCCAAAGCCCGGCGCTGGGATAGCGGCGGCGCGGCGGAATTCTCCGGGGGAGGGTTCATACCGGGTGTGCACTTTCCTGTTTATAGAATGAATCCACATCTATTATCTGATTTGCCCCTCTCAATAGTTCAAAGAAACAGGCACTGTTATGACCATTTTACAGATGAAAAGGGGGCTCAGAAGGGTTTGGTGTCTTGCCTTGTTTCATGTAATCCAGATTAGAGGATGTGTAGGGGGCCGGGGGAGGTAACGCAAGACCTAGACTCCGAAAGATGAGAGGGGCCAGGCGCGGTACTTCACGTCTGTAATCCCAGGACTTTGGGAGGTAGAGGCAGGAAGGTCGTTTGAGACCAGGAGTTGGAAACCAGCCTGGGCAATATAGCTTGACTCCACCTGCCCTCCTTTCTTTCGGTCCTCACCGCCACAGGCATCCTGTGCCTCTTCCTTGGAGGGGCCGTGGTGAGTCTCCACTATGTTCGGCCCAGCGCTCTTCGCACCCTTCTGGACCAAAGCGCCGAGGACTGCAGCCAGGCGAGAGGGGGCTCACCTCTTATCCTCGGCAACCCACTGCAGAAGCAGGCCGGGCTCCCGGACTTAAAATATATCACCACTAACCTGTGAGAAGGACCCAATCTGGACTCCTTCCCCGCCTTGGGACCTCGCAGGCCGGGAAGCAGTGCCCCCAGGCCTGGGCCAGGAGAGCTTCGGAAGGGGCACTACGTGCTGCTGGCGCTGAGAGCCAGGGGCGAGGTCTCAGACATCCGCAGGCACCAGGGAAAGTCTCCTGGGGCGAGCTGTAAATAAACTTTTTTTTCTTTTATTTTTTTTAAAAACTTTTCCCCCCATTAATTTTCATGGCTTCTGCGCTCCGGGGTCGTGGGGAAGCACGCCCTCGGGAGCTTCGCTGGGCTGGATGGAGACAGCCTAGTACACTCTCCACTGTGCTGTGAAACCGGATTCTCTGCGTCTAGACTCCAGAGTAACGCGGGCGCCCTCTACTGAGGCCGGAGGGGGCCCTACCGGAGCCTGTATCTTCCTGAGCCACCCCAGGTGGACGTTAGGTGGTAGTCATGAGGCAGGTCACCCACTCCCGTTCCTGGATCCCACTCAGCTAGCCCAGCTGAGTGAGCTGGGAAGGAGTAGCGTTTTGGAATTGATTCACTGACTTCCCACCTGGCTTCTTGTGAGGTGGTGTCTGAGGGCCAAGGTAGGTGTCAGCAAGGTATAGAAATATAAATCCCGAGATTCTTGGCAAGTCCTGCAATCTTATTAAGCAAACTTGGGAACTGAAGCTCAGAGAATGTGGCCTAGTTGGTTAATGTTAGACCTGGGCTGAGAAGTTGTTTCCTCTCCTTTCTGGTGTTGTCTTTCATTGTACGAAGAGGTCACACATCTGGGGAAGTAAAGGAGGAACAACAGGAAAAAGGAAAACAAGAGGTGCGGAGGGAGGAGAGGGAACCATAGGAGAATCATATGTCCCCCCTCCCCCCTGCTGGTGTTATGGGGGTGAAGTTAGGTTTCAGTGAATAGCATCTTGAAGAGGCCAGGCATCACACAAAGGCAGGGTTGCTGTGCAGAGAAGAGATAGCCCCTGCTTGGTCTTATGGCAACAGGCTTTATGGACAAGCCCATCTTCTCTTCAGCCCCTGAGGGCTTTTTGCTGTTGTTGTTTTTTAACATCAGTATCTAGAGCCTGCTTTTTCTACTCCGTCTGTAGATTGGTGCTGGGGGTCTGGTACCAGCCACCCTGAGGGCAATTCTGCTGGTTTTATGGGACTCCAATGAGGTTCGAAGCCAGACTGGAAGTCCAGGCGGCTTCCAGGGGCAGGGGTGTTATAGGGCGCATTCAGGTTCTCTGGGGTGCGTCTCCTCACAGCATGCCTTGGCGGAGGAAGCCTCTGACAGGGGGATGTCCTGGGGCTCTGGACTGTCAGCCATGGGCCTGTATCGGGGACTCAGGAGTCCACCTTCTTCAGGACTCCCCTCCAGCCTGGGGTCTTCGTCCACACTCTGGTTGAAGAAAGCCTTCAGCCTGTGAGGCTGCATCCTGTGCGCCACCACCGTAGCCAGGCCCAGCAGCACACACAGCAGTCCTGCAGACGAAGGCAACAGTTGTCCCACCTTAGTGCTAGTAACACCTAGTGAGGACATCGTCCGTCCCCTGGGAGCGTCAGAACAGCTCTAAGGGAGGCCTGGAGGCCCTGCTTCAGGGCAACTTAAGCTCAGAGAGGTGACTGGCTGAGGGGCCTTCGGCTCCAGCAACCCTGTTGTCCTGAATTTCCAGACTCCAAGCCCAGTGCTCCTTCGTTATATCCCAGGAGAGAGAGAGAGCGAGAAAGGGGGAGAGAGAGAACTCTGAAAATAGGGAGAGGAAAGAAAAACCCTGGGGAAGGGCAGGGCACAGAGGAGGAGGCATAAAGAGGCACATGAGGGGGTAGACAGTGGAATCGGAGAGGAGAATAAAACTGCAGGAGAATTTAGGGCTGTGTAAGGCAGGACAGAGAAAGGTTTTAAGAATGGGGACACAGAGAAGGGTATTTGGAAGAAGCAAGAGGGGACCGGGGTTGGAAGATTTTAGAAGCAGCTGGGTGAAGAGAGTTAGGGGATGAGAGACAGAGAAGACACAAGGAGGGGGCACCTCTGAGGAGGGAGGGGAAGTGGCACTGAGGAGAGAAAAGCAGGAGATAAGAGATACAAGAGGGTGAGTCTTTGAAGAGGGTAAAGCCATCCTGGCCCCCAGGAACAGACCCTCAACTCTACCAACATGATGCTCCCAGGTCCTCCCTCCCTGGCCCTGAGCCTTCCAGTGCCTGTCTTTAGGGCTGGGTCTTACCTGTGGTCAGTGTGATCCAGAAGGCAGGCCCATGGTGAGTAAGCAGCACAGAAGCACCCAGGCGCAGGGGACAGGGTGGGGTGAGTGATGTGGTCATGGAGAAGAAGAGCAGAGCCAACAGCTGGAAGATGCCCGTGGCCAACAGCATGTGGCCACCGTATACCAGCACAGGCATGGAGAGCATCACGTTGGCCAGCAGCCAGCAAAGGAATGCCAACCTGGAGAGCCAGGACCCAGTGAGGACTGGCCTGCGTACCTCTACCTGCTAGTGAAGCTGGACAGGCCCAGGTGTAGGCTCGGGGACCCAAGAGTGACCCAAAGATAAGAGGTAGGGATTCCCTCCCATGGACTTCCCAAGCCAGCACCATGGGGACTAGTGCCAGCCTGTCCCACCTCATATACCCATATGAGTGGAGAAGAGATGGGTAGAAACCCTGTTCCTGAATCTAGGCTGCCAGGGCCTCCACCCCATCCCCTTCCCATCCTCACCACAGTGTGGCTGAGGCGTAGTGTCCTGCCAGGCGATACTGGCGGTACAGGCCACATGGGCTTCTCGGAGTGAACTTCTCGGCTAGGTACAGCACAGGGTCTGGCAGCCCCTTCTCCAGCGCCTTTGCATATGCCTCAGCATAGTTCTCGCCCAGGCGCCAGGTGAACTCCTCATTGTAATTGATGGTCTCATTCAGCTGCTGCACAGGGGTCCCTGGAGAACAAGGCAGCTGTGCTCTGCAGGAACCCAAGGGCCACAGTGGGGCCTAGGTAGGGACTCACCCACACTGGGCAGAGGGACAGGAAGTGGTCTCAACTGAGAGAAGGCAGCTTCCAAGGCCCTGAACTTCCCTTCCTACCATGCCTCCAACACCCACACATCCTCCCAGCCCCAGTGCCAGGCATCCTATAGCTCTTTGGACCACACCAAACATAGATCCCAAAGACAACAGAGCCGTCCCTCCCTCACAGGTAAGAGCCCCCCCTCACCTGTGAGCGTGATGTTGACTCCACTCAGCCCGACCTGCAGCCCAACATCAGCGCTGATCCACTCAGAACTGAAGGCCTTGTACGATGTGTTGGTGCTGACCTGGCCCACAGACCACTCAGAACTGAAATTCACAGCTGGGGTTGGGGAGTTGGACATATGGGAACTCAGAGAGGTTGAGGCATTACTAGGTTAGAGTCAGAAGAGCTACAAGGCATCTATGTCTGTTTTGGTCATAATTGGATACCTATTAACTAGCCAGGGTCTGGCTCAGGGTGAGTCTGCCAACCATATGTGTGGGATTTCCCTTGGTCACACTCTTTACCTCTTCCTCTTGCCTCCCTTTCTACCTGCTTTAGGGAGAGTTACTCAGGGAGCTGGGAAGGAAGCATGAACCTAAACTATGCTGGGCAAGGCAAACACAGACAGCTTGAACACAGAGACTCTCTCTTTTTTTTTTTTTTTTTTTAATGGAGTCTTGCTCTGTCACCCAGACTGGAGTGCAATGGCGCAATATTGGCTCACTGCAACCTCTGTCTCCCGGGTTCAAGCAATTCTCCTGCCTCAGCCTCCCAAGTATTTGGGATTACAGGTGCCCGCCCCAATGCTCAGCTAATTTTTGTATTTTTAGTGGAGACAGATTTCCCCATGTTGGTCAGGCTGATCTTGAACTCCTGACCTCAGGGGATCCATCCGCCTCAGCCTCCCAAAGTGCTGAGATTATAGGAGTGAGCCACTGTGCCCCGTCTCATAAGGACTTTCATCTCTCCTATTTGCCTAATCACCAAGTCAAAGCAAACAGCCCTTCCCCATTTCCTCCCCTCCTCCCTGGAGCCCTCTTCCCACAGACATGCATTTTGACCTCCTTTCCCCACCCCCACTCCCAGCAATAAAAATGTTAGGAAGGTTGGGGAGATGCATCCAGCTTGTTTCCCAGGGTGATACCTCTCCAGGCCAAGGTAAGAGTAAGGGGATAAGGCCATGGTGAGAAAGGCATATGGGCAGGGTCTGGAAGCCACCCTGAAGCAGGGGCCCACCGCTGTGGGGAAACAAGGAGAGGAGAGGAAGGCTGCTGAGGGAGTTGATGGGATGGAGACAGCTGTCCAAGTCAGCTGCACTTCACACTCACCCAGGATTGCAGCCCCAATGAATAAGCTGGTCACCACCCGCAGCAGCCAAAACAGCCTCTGAGTGGCAAGGAGCGTGGGTTAAGTAAGGAGCGCCCTCCTTCCATGTCTACCCTTCCTGTTTCCAGACTTGGGGGAAGGGTGGGAATTCTAAAGCTGAGATAACTTGGTCAGTTGAAATCAGAGTGTCTGGCATATAATAAGTGCTTATTTATTTATTTGAGACAGGATCTCTGTTGCCCAGGCTGGAATGCAGTGATGTGATCTCAAATCACTGTAGCCACTCAAGTGATCCTCCCACCCCAGCCTTCCAAGTAGCTGGGACTACAGATGCACATCACAAGCTAATTTTTTTTTTTTTTAAGAGATGAGGTCTATAAACCCAGGCTGGTCGTGAACTCCTGGGCTCAAGCAAGCCTTCCACTTTGGCCTCCCAAAGTTCTGGAATTACAGGCATGAGCCACCATGCCCCACCAACGCTCAATAACGAACTGTTGAATCAATGAATGAGGGGCTTTGTGCCTGGGGTGGTGCTGATGCTTTCTCAGCACTGGGATCTCCTTCCTGAGTCTGGTTGTAGTCAGAGACTCTGGACCCCTCAGCCTGAGGCTAAGGTCTCTCTGGGCTGGGGTCTCCAGGACTGGGTTTCTCACCGTCTTGCCCCGAATGCCAGGCAGGATGACGACGAAAGTGGCCAGTGCAGTCAGAAAGATCATGACGATGGTGGCCGAAGTGGTGTCCATTGGGAAGGTTGGCTTGGGGCCAGCATAGAAGGGGAACGTGTGTCCCAAAGCAGCCATTTTGGTGGGGTTGTGCAGGGGAGGCAATGCTGTACAACAACAACAGACATATATTGCATGCCCTCAATGTACCTGGCACCGTTTTTGGCACTAGAGATATAGCACAGAATGAGCCAGACCAAGTCCCTCTTCTCTAGAGCTCACATTTTGTGCAGCATCAGACTTGGCTATTACCGCCTCAGCCATCCATCTCCCCATCTTTTAGGTGACAGAATGAGGGTCTTTGCCATCAGTCTCTGTTGCCCATGCTCCTCTCCTAACCCCCAAGTTCCATAAATCAGTGCTACCACCACCCTTGAGGCTTCTCTGTTACTTCTGGGACTGTCTCAAGAAATATAATTCTCTTCTCTCTCCTTCAGGGCCCTAGCACAGATAGATCACAGAACATAAAAGGACTATATTTACTATCAGGTGAAGGCATAGGTGAAAGATGGTACAAATTACAAAAAGATTGACTTTCTTTCTCAGTCCCCGAAGAAACAAAGGCCAGGCAGCTCTCTGCTGAGTATATAATCCAGCCACATCATCAGAGGATGTTGCAGACCTACACAGGTCTGTCCAGCTTTCTCAAGCACCCTGGCTCTTGTTCTGGCAACTGCAGAACAGTTGAGCTTCACTGAGTTCACTTAAATAAGCACTGAAGGGGCCCTGCCCTCTATCAGGCAGTGCTGGGGCCAGATGGCCTTCTCTTCCACATGCGATCAACATTGGTCCTTCTCTCTGATTCAAATTCCCAGGCCAAGTTTTAGGTCAAACCCTAGCTGTGGTCTTCTCTGCCCGTCCCTTGATTTCAGAACTTGTTTGACTCTTATTTGTTCCTTTGCAGACAGGATATTGGGAAAATGGTAGCTGAACTTACTGTGTTTAGTCAAATATCAGAACCGACTGCAAGACACACTACTATTTTAGCTAGCACAAAGAAAGGGGAAAAGAAAGTCTTGCTGATTAAACCATGGCCACCATTCCTGGTGAGATATACCTAATTTCAGAGATGTCAAAATGTGAAAAAAAAAATGCATCTTAGAGTCCATGATCCCAGTTTTCCTCATTTCCTGAAGTGTGATCTGTACTGGGGTTTCAGTTTGCCCAGAAGGCTCCATAATTTAGTTTGACTACACATTGTCTTATAAAGAGTTATAATGAAAGAATGAGCGTGGGAGTCAAGCAGCTCCAAAGGGTCTGAATTCTGCTTCTGCCTCTTGCAAGTCACTTGACATCTATAGACACTCAGTTTTATTAAAACTTTGAGATAATTATGTCTATCTTGTAAGTGTCATTGTGAGGATGAAATGAGATTGTGTATATAAAGTGCTAAGAAAAGTACTGGAAATAAGCTACCAGCTTGGGAAAGAGAGGGCATTTCATTGCTTATTACTCCATTTATCTGTTTCTCCAATTTTTCTTTTCTTAAGTAAATAAAAAAGGAGTACATTTAAATTTTTTATTAAGTTCTTAAGTTTTTTTGTCTTTTTGGTTTTTTTTTAGTCTCACACTGCCACCCAGGCTGGAATGCAGCGGCACCATCTTGGTTCACTGCAACCTCCACCTTTCAGGATCAAGCAAATATCATGCCTCAGCCACCTGAGTAGCTGGGATTACAGGCATGCACCATCACACCCGCTGATTTTTAAATTTTTTAGCAGAGACAGGGATTTGTCATGTTGGCCAGGCTGGTCTTGAGCTCCTGACCTCAAGCAATCCACCCTCCTCAGCCTCCCAAAGTGCTAGAATTACATGCATGAACTACCATGTCCAGCCTCTCCAATCTTTCTTCAAGTGAACCCTGAGCTGGAATCCATTCTGTGTCTAGTTTCAGTTCTTTACTAATATTGCACAGGTAAGCGACAACCTCCTGGGTCCTTGGTTTCCTCATCTGTAAATCGATTTCATCATCTCCAGGTCCCTTCTAGTTCTAATGCTGGGATTCTCCTAATATGCTCTAGCTCCCAGCCTTCCTCTCTCCTTCTAAGCTGGGCACCTTCTTGTGCTATCTCTGGGAGTAGCATGGCATCAGGCAAAGAGACAGAAGGACACAAAGTTTTAACTTTTAATTCTGTCTTTTGTGCAAGTCACTTAACCCCTAAGTGTCAGTTTTAACATGAAGGTTTTTTGTTTGTTTGTTTGTTTTTGATGGAGTCTTACTCTGTCACCCAGGCTGAAGTGCAGTGGCACGATCTTGGCTCACTACAACCTCCACCTTCTGAGTTCAAGCGATTCTCCTGCCTCAGCCTCCCGAGTAGCTGGGATTATAGGCGTGCGTCCCTATGCCCGGCTAATTTTTGTGTTTTCAGTAGAGATGGGGTTTCACCCATGTTAACTAGGTTGGTCTCGAACTCCTGACCTCAAGTGATCTGCCCGCCTTGGCCTCCCAAAGTGCTGGGATTACAGGCATGAGCCACTGCGCCCAGCCTGGTTTTTTGCTTTTTCTTAACTACTCAACTCTCCCATCCCTGAAGAATAGGCATCTCTCTTCTCTCCTGTTCTGCAAATCCATCCTCCTGGGCTCTAGCCCATTCATGCCTGCCTTCTCCACCACCTTTATCATCGGTTGTCCCTCTTCCCTTCATAGTGTTCCAGCTTCATTTTCTCTGCTGGCTCTTTCTTTCAAGGTTACAATTAAATTTTTCCCACCTTAGGAACACACAGAAAAAGAACCTTCTCTCTGGATCTCCTTGGTCCCCTCCAGCTACCATTCTATTTTACTCTATTCCTTTCACAGTCAGGCTTTTGAAAAAACAACGTATATTGGTATTTCCACTGCCTCATCTCTTCAACCTATCGCAACCTGACTTTTCCTCATCCCTGACTTCTCCATTAGGCCACTAAGTGTTAAATCCAAAGAGCAGTTTTCACTTTTCATCCTCCTTGACCTCTCCGTGGTATGTGACACTGGAGACCATGCCCCCTTTCTCCAAACTACCTCCTTGCACTTCCATCACACATGTCCTCCAGGGGCTCCTGCTCTTGGCCATCTCTTTGTGGCTCCTCTACTAGTTCTTTTTCCTCCATGTTAAATGTTGATGCTCCCCATAAATCTGTCATGACTCTATTCTTTTAGCAGTATTCATGATTCCCTGAGCAATCTCATCCATTCTCATGGCTGATGGTTCTCAAATGTCTTCAGGTAGTACTCCTGTCTGAGCTCCAAACTCAAAAGGGCCAACCACCCTGTGGACATTTTCATTTGGATGTTCCCTTGATGCCTCAAATCTAAAGCCCCTCAAATGGAATTCATTGTCTCTATACTGCTTTTTATTCTATTGTCTTTGCATGTTTGGCAATGTCACCACTGGTCAATCAAATAAGTCAGACACCTGGACCATCTTACCTCCTAAATACTTCTTGAAACTATCCATGTATTTCCTTTCCTACAAAGGAAATACATGCCTCTGCTCTAACCCAGGCTCATCCTATCTTTTAGTTCCAGAATAATTTTTTTTTTCTAAACAAACAAACAAAAAATAGATTTTTTGAGACAGAGTTTCACTCTTGTTGCCCAGGCTGGAGTGCAGCGGTGCAATATCGGCTTATGGCAACTTCCAACTCCTGGGTTCAAGGGATTTTCCTGCCTCAGCCTCCCGAGTAGCTGGGATTACAGGCGTGTACCACCATGCCTGGCTAATTTTGTATTTTTAGTAGAGATGGGGGTTTCTTCATGTTGGTCAGCTTGTCCCGAACTCCCATCCTCAGGTGCTCCTCCCACCTCGGCCTCCAAAAGTGCTGGGATTACAGGCTCGAGCCATCATGCCCAACCAGAATAATTTTTTTTCTAATAAATAAATATTATCATTTTACTTCTCTGCTCTGGCTAAAATCTCATCTTCTTACTATCACATATAAAGTGCTTTATAACCTGGTCCCCCGTATACTCGCTCCACCTTTTGCCCAGCCTAAACTGTAGCCACACTGAATGACTGGTCTCTCCCTCAATCTGACATGCTCTTTCAAGCCTTCAGTACCTTTGGATATGCTATTTCCTTTGCCTGGAATGCTCTCACTCTCTTGGCAAACGCCTTTTCACCCCTCAAGTCTCAGCTTGTGTTACCTCCTCTGTGAAGTTTCCTCTGATGCCACTGGGCCAATGTGAGTTCCCACTTGGAACATTCTGATTACATTTTGAACATATCTTCCTAATAACAGTGATTACATTGTACTCTAATTGTCTGAACATCTGTCTCCCAATTAGACTGTAATCTCCTTGAGGGCAGAGACTTCCTCTTTTCATCTTTGCATCCCCTGCATGTCGAATATGCTAATGAAGCTCTGGATCAAATGAATGATTATGAATGAGTTCCTCTCCCCACAGGTGGCTTCTTCTGATTTTGTACACAAGGGGGAGCTCTGCTCCCTCATTGCCCTGTACTATACGTATAATTCAATATTAACTGAATATCACCAGTACAGAGCAAAGGACTGGGCAAAAAGGGATTTGACTAACCCTGTCAACTATTAGTAATTTCTCAAAATTTTCAGAAAGCCTCTTCTAATACTTAAGAGTCTCCAAGGCTAACAAAGATCCAAATATGAATTTTCATGATTGATTGAATCAGAATCATATATCTCAAACTTAGCTGAAATGAGTAACTAAGAATTTGAGAATTAAATTATTTTGTAAAATTTGTGATAGTGACATTTATTTTAAAGCAGAAGTTTACTGATCTAAGAATTTTTTATTTATGACATCTAGACTGAAGCTATTATATTTTTAAATAAAAATCCATAGGAGGAAAGCCTATAAAACATAAAATATCTTGGCTAATAGGATAGGAAGGTAAAGCGAGGCTAACAGCAAGAAAACATGTTCTATGCTGGAATTCAGATAGATGTATTTTTAATATACGTGAATAAGAGATAATATAATGTATTTTGGTCAGGGTTAAATATTATTCTTGCATTTGTTTTAAAGGGATGTTATAAAAAATTTACAAGAATGTTTCATCTCTATTAACATGTGCTGAAAAGAAACACTAACAAAAGGCTTTTTGTATTTTACATATACAAGAGTAATGCTAATTTATTTCTAACTCTCCCAAATGTCATATTTATTAAAGACGACACAAGCAAAAAGACAGTTGGTAAACGAAATTTGCCTTTCTTAATTTCTTCTTGTTCAGTTTCATAATTTAGGTTTTCCTTAATTTGCAGTGCCTAATTTGAAGTTAATTTTTAATGACTCTGACCCTAATTTGGTTTTCTTTTTTGAGACAGTCTTGCTCTGTTGCCAGGGGCCAGGCTGGAGTGCAGTGGTGCGATCTCGGCTCACTGCAACATCCGCCTCCCGGGTTCAGGCATTCTCCTGCCTCAGCCTCCCGAGTAGCTGAGGACTACAGGCACATGCCACCATGCCCAGCTAATTTTTGTATTTTTAGTAGAGATGGGGTTTCACCATGTTGGCCAGAACAGCCTCGATCTCTTGACCTTGTGATTCACCTGCCTCAGCCTCCCAAAGTGCTGGGATTACAGGTGTGGGCCACTGTGCCTGGCTTGGTTTTCATTATTAAGCTAACAGGGCTCCTGTATGAAGAGGTGGGACTGAAATGAGAAGGCCCCACACTCAGCAGTCCTGCTTTTCCTACAGAGCTTGTGTTTCCCTGGGGAACATCTTTCTTCCTGGCTTGTCAAGTAGCATCTCACAGTAGAATTAGTTTTTTTGTTTGTTTATTTGTTTTTTATAAAGACAGAGTTTCACCATGTTGGTCAGGCCTGTCTTGAACTCCCAACCTCAGGTAATTCGCCTGCCTTGGCCTCCAAAGTGCTTGGATTACAGGCATGAGCCACCGCACCTGGCCAGTAGAATTAGTTTTAATGTGATAAAATCCCATATCAATATTAACTTGACCCACTTCTCTCCTACCTCACCACCATGACTAGGATATATGCACAGTGTACACTGATATAAATAAGCAGACACAAGATACAGTCAAACATATACCTACAAATTTAGATAAAGAGAGACAAAGACACAAGAACCACCCAGACTCTGTTATTCTCAGTAGTATACACACCTGTGTTATTTCATCAGAGGCCCTTGTGACAAAATTGAATTGCTTTCTCATGGGGTGAGGGGAGACTCCCATACTTTGGGGTTCTCCTTTCTCACCTGGCCTAGAGAGGAAGAGGCACCATTCTCCCTTTCTGGGCTCCCTTTATGTACTGAAGACTTTTCTCATGCTCAATCTTGTCTATAACAAATAGACACAGTTACCCAATCCTTACCTGCCACAGGTTGGAGTTCCTATGTGTGTATGAGGGGTGGGTAAAACATAAAGTTACAATCCTTAAGAAAACTCAGCCTAGGACAAACTCTAGCCTTCCTCAAAGTTATGTGCTGATGTCCTGTGGCTTCTCTTGTAGCTTGACAGGGCTCTCTTCCTGAAGTCTTCTCCCTGCCCACCTCCCCCATCTGCTGGAACCAATAAAGTAAGGACCACTAATTCTCCACAAGATGGGAGTGGGTGACAGGGCTGGAGTTGCCAAGACCTCTGACTGGTAATGCACAGCTACTGGAATGTGATGCTTTTTTCTCTGGTTGGGGTAGACCCCATTAAAAGTTTACAGCTGTGGTTAGCTAAGGGGACCCTGTCAGAAACTCTTGTCCTAGATTCTCCTCTTCAAGGAAGGGGTCTGTGTGTATGTGTGTGTCTGTGTATGGATGTATATGTGTGTTGTTGCACAGAGATAGGAGTTACATGGAGAAATGGAACAGGATCTGAAAGTGGATTGGGGGCAGCATTCCCCAGGAAGGGCTGATGTGGGTAAGGAGTTCGAGAGTGTAGAAGCATGCAAGGCAAACTACCTAGACTCCAGTTAAACTGGGATGAGGATTCGATGTCTGTAAACCTTGCGGCATTTATGGCTTTAAGAGGTTTTCCTTGCCTCCCCAATTTCTTACCAAACTCTCTCTTTGAAGAACTCCCATTTGATCTGAACTTGGTCCGGATGAAAGCAGAAGGTACAGCCCTAGGTGCCTGGGCCGGAGCAAGCACTTCAACACCCCCTTCAAAATCACCTGGACCACACAGACCTAAGCAACCGCATCCTCCACCACCCACACCTGGACCATAGTTCCCTACTTTCGCCTCTTCCAAACAGTGCGTGTGTGGCAGCCTGCGTCTCTCGCCTTCCCTCGTGGAACCTCACACAAAGCGCCCCGGGGGGTGTGAGTAAAGAGGGAACCAGGTTCTGTGAACAAACGCGAGCCCTTACTCTCTGTGGGGCTCCCGTCCAACCCCCGCTCGTCTCCTAACTCAAGTAAGGACCCTGCTGTGACTGGACAAACCGGATCTGGGGTGCTTCCAGTCATTCCTCAAGTCACTCCCAAACTTCTCAGACTGCACCCGAGACTGCGCAGCGCGGCCTACCACTCCCAGCCTCGGACAGAGACGAGCTGGGTGCGCCAGGACCATAGCACCGGGGTCTGCCCACTCCGCATTGGTCCCCCCAATACCCCCTCCTCCGCGCCCCCCACCCAGGCCCAGCATCCCCAGGAGCTCCAGCGCAAACCTGGCGATGCAGTTCCGGGTCTGGCAGGGCATGGGCGCGGCTCGCAGGGCGGTGGGACCCCTGAGATTTCACGAGGATCCCCGGAGGGAGACGTGACCCCAGGCTCTCAGAGGGTTTAGGTCGGATGAGTGACTTGCTTTGACGCCTGGCCTGGTCTGTGGGCGGCAGCTGATCAATGGTCTTGGACACCGAGCCCAGACCCGACGGTGCCCAGAGGATTCGAGGAGAGTCTCCCCTCCCCACACCCTCTCCGCCTCCCAGCCTCTCCCCAGCCCCGTGGGACCTGTGGAGGCGGACTTGCCCTTTTTGCCATCCACACGACCGCACTAGCCCTGCCCTCGACGCCGACGGGACATCTCTACCTGCGCCCCGCGAGCCCTCGCCGTCTCACCTCGCGCACTGCGGTCCCCTGAAGCACCTCCGCGGGTCCCCCGGCGCCAGCCTCCATCCCGCCCTACTGCGCCCCGCCCCGCCCCGCTGCTGAGCCGGGCCGCGCCGTCCCCTCCTCACCCCCAGCCCCGCCCGTCCCGGCGCAGAGCTGGAGAGGCACCGGACGCGAACAGGCTCCGCGGGCCCACCTGGGAGCCAGGCCGGAGCCAAGTTGCAGTCCCGGGCTCCGGTGACGCCGTAGTCGCAGGTCAGATCGGGGAGGGCTTTTCCCAGCCCGCGGGCCGGGGAGCTCCGGGGTAGGGAGCTCTAAGTGCAGGGTGTCGGGGGAGCGGCCGCTGGGCCACGTTATTGAAGGAGTGGAATGCTAGCCCCTTGCTCTTCGGATCTTATCCTAAGGCTAAAATGGGCCCTGTTAGGGCTGTCCTCTGCCCAATCAAGGTTTTGAGAGACTGGGTTCTTCGGGACCTGAGAATGTTGGGTGGCCCAGTTTGCCTGGGCCTAAGGATTCTTCTCCTGGCGCCAGCCCAACATACCAGGGAGGAAGCTTTGGGCTTTAGGATCCAAGCTTTCCCCCTCAGCCCTCCCAGGTTGGAATCGATGACCTTGACCCATCTTCCTCACACCTCAGGACCAACAGGGTCACCACTCTAGAGCTTCAGGCTGGAAAAGCGGCCATGTGGGGCAAGAACAGGCAGGTCTGTGTTCTCTCTCTGGTTCTGCCGCTGGCTCTGCCTGGGGCTTCATTGCTCTGTCCTGGGGTTGTGCCTTCCTCTCAAGGTTGTTGAGAAGTTACTGCCCCATGTCATTGTGTAAATTATTAAGGGCAACCCACCCACAAGAAGTGGTTATTAAGCATGTCCACCTTCCTCTTAAGGTCATCCCACACAGCCTGGCCTGAAAGGGCACTTCATGCCCTTAGGGGCTGAGTGGTACATTAGCGTTTGTGCCAAGGATCCTGAAGACATGGTTGGAGGTGGGGGAGGGCCAGGACATCTTGGGATCAGGGAAGGATCCCTGTGGTTACTTCAGTACATCCAGATTTACAGCTTCCACCATCCAGAGCCCAGCTCTTCACGCACTATTAAAGGCCAGCACCTGGACAGACTCTGTGGAACACAGCAGGTGGAATACTGAGCTTTCCAGTTAGGGCAGGGCCTAGGTTTTTTCATTTGTTTAGTAGGAGATGGAATGGGGATGAGGTCACTCCCTGGGTTCTCTCTCTAGACAGCCCATCCAGGAGCCCTGATATCTGGCTAGGGATGAGGCTTTCCCTGAGCTCCTTCCTTCCTCTATCCTATCCCCAACCTCCAGCTTGCCTTAGGAAGTCTTCACTGGCTTTAGGTACTCCTTGCACCACTCAGGAGTCCCAGCCTGACTCCTCTGCTGCCTCTGTTTCCCTGCTGACTCTGGGTGGAAAGAGAGAGCAGGAAGCCTGCACTAAACACATAAGCACCTGGTACTGCATCCCTTCTGGATCCAACCAAAGGCGTCAGTCTCCCACCTGCCCTCTCGGTAGCACATTTGCATAACACCTGTCACTTTTCTTGCTTTGAATTCAACTTCATTATCACATCTGATTCTGGCAACCATGCTGGGAAGTAAACAGTTCAGGCATATTTGCTCCCATAGCTGGAAGAGGAAACCAAGGATCAGATTGGAGAAGTGATTTATCTAAGACCCCACCATGGACTGGCAGCAGCACTGAGACCTCAGCCCAGTCTCCTGATCCTCAAGAAAGTCTCTGTCAAAGGAACACACTGCAAGGAGCTGGGCCAAAGCAAGGTTTTCCAACTAATTTTAGAAGATAAAGTCCCTGAAGCTAGGTACCAGGGATTTCTGTTTGTTTTGTTCATCACTTAATCTTCAGTGTTTAGGTCAGTGCCTGGTACATAAAGGGTGCTTATCAAGTATTTGCTGAGTGAATTAAAGAATCTTGGGAAAGAGTGAGTCTCTTGAACTTTGCTACCTACTGTGACCTTGGCCCAGCCCCAGGCCTTGATTCAGAGTCCTGCAGAGGCCTTGACCTGATTCTTCTTCTAAGCAGCTAGGGCTCATTCTCTGTCCTGTCTTTTTTTAGGGTCTCCATTTTGGGACTTTCTAATCCCTGAGCCCCTATTATTTTCATCATGGGCTTCTTCCAGGCTCTAGCGTGGACACTTCTGGTTGGGCCATGGACCCCTATGGGTGAGTACAGATTGGAGAAGAAGCATGTTTAAAAGCAGAGGAATCCAGCATCCTCTGGACTCCCCCAAAGACAGGATCCATGTGATGTTCATCTGCATCCTTAGTCTTTAGTTGGCACAGTGCCCTGCATGTGAGAGTTGCTCATTTCTAGCTCTTGAAGAAATGGATGGAAAATGGAATGAAAATTATCCCCAAATGCACAGAATTAGGGAGCCTTTAATTTCTATGTCAGCACTTCCTATTTTATTCCTTACAGTTTGGGGGCCCTTTCTTTCTCCTCAATCTTCTCTTGTTTCCCATAAAATCAAGGCCTATGACTCAAAATAGGAAAAGATTGATTAGACACACAAGACAATAAAGGATCTTGGGGTCAGATTAGACCCAAAGCTGAAGGGGAGTCATCAATATTTTTAAAGATTATGATCAAAAACAAAAACAATACCTTCCACGAGAGTTTCATATTGCCACCTTCAGTGGACAGTTTCTTACTGGAATCTGAGGCTGTTCTCCATAGTCTGTGTCTCTGTGGAGGGAAGTGGCCTTGCAGTGCCACAAGTTAAAAAGTGCTCTTTAAAAGAGCAAGTCCTTGATAACTTGGGATGGGAAATGCAAACGCAGAAAGCAGAGAAAACCTGTAGAGGGATCTGTCCTGGCTGGAGGTGGCAGGATCGTGACACCTTCCCTACAGCTCCTCCCTTGCCAGAGCTGCTCACATCTGTGTTCCTTCCAGCCCTCTTCTTTCCTTGGCTTTGGATTTTCCTTTTCTCCTCCAGCTCTGACCTCTTATCTCTAAGAGAAACTTACCCTGTACCGTCCTGCAAAGATTCACTCCTTTATGTGCCACAGGTTCATCTTATTTTTAGATATCACATGTATGGCCCTTCCCCAAATCTTGGACCCTTAGCTGGGTTCTCTGCTCAAACATCAGGCACTGAGTCATTTTCCCCCCTAGCTCCCTGCTGAGTGAGTGTGCAAATGTGTGTGTCTGTTCTCTGAGGTGAGCAGAGAGGAAGCCCCAGACCTATAGACTCCTAGTCTGGGGGAAACAATCAGGCCAGCCATCTGATCTACTGATCAGAAAGATCCCTGCTCCATCCCTGATTCCATTTTCCATTCTGGATCTTCCCTCTGTTCCTCATTCCTTAGTTCTTTCCCCAGAGGCTGAGTGCTCCCTCCTGGACCCTCATTTTGGAGAGTACAAAAGGACCAAGCGGAGGAATTGTATGGGGACAAGATGCCCCAGAGAAGGGGCAAGGTTATCCACATCACCAGTCTGTCCCCGGTCCTACCTAACAACCTAGGGAAAAAAAAAACAGTAGCAACACCACACCCCTGCCCTGGGATCTGCTCAGCCAGAGAGGACTAGGTCCCTCACCACACTGACCCTGCCCAGGGATGGGTCACAGAATGACGTGTCCTTCTCAGGTATGGAGTGTGGCTGGCTCTTGCTCTGTGTGGTGTCTTACCGTTACGGGATGGATTCTGTCCTGTTGTGTCCCCCCCAGGGAGCCGAAGTCTGAGGGGAGTAGAAGTGCCCTGTATCCTCTTCCCCATCGCCACTGCTCTCCTCCAGCCCCCCTCCCTCTCTGAGGCCATCTGTCAGCACACACTGCTCCCTGCTACATGCGTTTGGCTCCCTGCCATGTCTCCCCTACTGAGCAGCTTAAAGATCTGGCTTGAGTTTGGAAACTGCTTTACCCGGTTTTTCCCTCTGCATCCTACCTCTCACATCCACTCCAGGTATCCACTTTCCACTGCTCCAAGTGCCAGGCTTACAGCACCCATTTCCCGCAGGCCTGCCTGTCCTCTCACGCACTGACTTGCCCAGCTGCCCCTTCCCTCCATTCTCACACAGGCGCTCAGAACCCCATTTCATGGGAGGTGCAGCGATTTGATGGGTGGTACAACAACCTCATGGAGCACAGATGGGGCAGCAAAGGTAAGTAGGAGCCAAGTGGGGACAGAGCCCCAGGGCCAGGGTGATACTGACTGCTGCGAGGCAAGACCTGGCAGGTACCAGCAAAGGCCATCCATTTCCAAGGTTTTAGATTCCATGACATGGTGGGAAGCCTGGGAGAGAGTGGGTCAAGAATGCCCCCTGAAGATTCCTCCTTATCCTTACTCCTTCTACCCCAGGCTCCCGGCTGCAGCGCCTTGTCCCAGCCAGCTATGCAGATGGCGTGTACCAGCCCTTGGGAGAACCCCACCTGCCCAACCCCCGAGACCTTAGCAACACCATCTCGAGGGGCCCTGCAGGGCTGGCCTCCCTGCGAAACCGCACAGTGTTGGGGGTCTTCTTTGGTGAGAACTTCAACCTCTGGGGGAAGAAAGCCAGTGGGGTCAGCTGGACACCTCTGCAAGTGAAGAGGGGTCAGAGGATGAGAGAGAAGTGATGGAGGGCCTGACGGATGAGGGAGAGAGGTGGAGGAGGCAGTGGGGTATGGTAGGGGTAGAAGCAGGTGCAGGGAGGATCCATGCTGAAGTGAAGTCTGGTTGGGGAGGCAGAAATCTTTCCCATGCAGAAAGATGAGGGTGGGATTAGGGAAAAGGGGCATCCCTCCATGTTGTGTTGTTGGTGGAGGTAAAGGTGTGGCAGACCCAGAAACATGAAAATAATCTGGGAGGGACTTTCTGGGGGGCCCTGTTCTTAGGCTTTGCCCCATGGCTTCTAGAACAGGCTTAGGGCAGGGCTCTGATTCTGGCAGAGTGGACTGAGGGGAAGTCAAAAGGGGGTGCTATGGTGGCCTGACCCCAGTGACTGAGGATTGGTGTCTGGCCCATCAGGAATGCGTGGCTCCTGCTGCATGTTGGAGCTGGTGCTGCCACCCCGTTTGCCTAGGAACACTCACAGGGCACCTCCCAGTTACCAAGGAGAAAGCCAAACTGTCAACGACAACAGCTTGGACCAGGTGTAGGCACAGAAGGGCAGAAGAGACAAAGGACTGGGAGGAAGTGTCTGAAGTCAAGGCTTGGACTTGCCTACAATGGCTGCTCAGTTTTTTGAAGCTTCAGGGGAGGGAGAGAGACTGGATACCTAGGGTAGGAAGGAAAGTGGCCCTCCCTGGCCCTAGCACCCCCTCCTGCTTTGCTGGCAGGCTATCACTTGCTCTCCGACCTGGTGAGCGTGGAAACGCCCGGCTGCCCCGCCGAGTTCCTCAACATCCGCATCCCGCCCGGAGACCCCGTGTTCGACCCCGACCAGCGTGGGGACGTGGTGCTGCCCTTCCAGAGGAGTCGCTGGGACCCAGAGACCGGACGCAGCCCCAGCAACCCCCGGGACCTGGTGAGGCAGGGGAGGCGGCGGGGAGGGGCCGCACCCCAGCCAGGTGGGGCCCGGGCTGCAGGCCTGACAGGGAGCGGCGCCCACTCCCCAGCCCCGGACTCCCCCTGGGGCCCCGGCTCCCGGCTCACGCGCCGCTTGCCCCGCAGACCAACCAGGTGACCGGCTGGCTGGACGGCAGCGCCATCTATGGCTCCTCGCACTCCTGGAACGACGCGCTGCGGAGCTTCTCCGGGGGACAGCTGGCGTCGGGGCCCGACCCCGCCTTCCCCAGAGACTCGCAGAACCCCCTGCTCATGTGGGCGGCGCCCGACCCCGCCACCGGGCAGAGCGGGCCCCGGGGGCTCTACGGTGAGGCCGCGAGGGCGAGACGGGGCCGGCTGGGGGTCTGCGAGTGTGGGCTCCCGGGGTCACGCTACCGCTCATCTCCCCCCCTGCGCCCCCACGTCGGATGCAGCCTTCGGTGCGGAGCGAGGGAACCGGGAGCCCTTCCTGCAGGCGCTGGGCCTGCTCTGGTTCCGCTACCACAACCTGTGCGCGCAGAGGCTGGCCCGCCAGCACCCAGACTGGGGGGACGAGGAGCTGTTCCAGCACGCGCGCAAGAGGGTCATCGCCACCTACCAGGTCAGCCGTCCCCGCCCCGCGACGTCCCCCCTTCCGCGTGCAGGTCCACGGGAGACTGCGCTGCCCACGGAGTTCCCCATCCGTGGACAACCTTCACCCAGAAACCCCTTCCCAGACAGCCGAGGTCTAGGGAAGCCGCTGTAAATGATAGGGGTGCACGCGCTGTTTCTAGGTGAAATCTGGCTGGTGATGATGATTTATCACCTCCCCACCCCCACTGCCCAAATGCCCTGGTTCCTTTCGGGGACAGGCCTCACACCGCTCCTGTTTGAGTCGTTTCTCCCATGACTGCCCCTGCCTGGTCCTTATCTCCACATGGAAGCCGTCCTTGGGCTCAGACCCTTCCAGGCCCCGCCTGGTCCAACTCGCACCTCCCCTCGCCCCTCTCTGCCCCTCAGAACATCGCTGTGTATGAGTGGCTGCCCAGCTTCCTGCAGAAAACACTCCCGGAGTATAAAGGTGAGGGAGTGAGGAGTGGGAGGTCATCTGTGCTGAGAATCCTGAGGGGAAAGAAGACAGGCGTGTGTGATAGGAGGATGGGGAGGCAAGGAACCTATCTCCCTATCATCTCGGTGTTCTTCCTTCAGGATACCGTCCTTTCCTGGACCCCAGCATCTCCCCGGAATTTGTGGTGGCCTCTGAGCAGTTCTTCTCCACCATGGTGCCCCCTGGCGTCTACATGAGGTGAGGGAGGGGTTGGCAGAGAGTGGGCACCACCCTGAGAAAGGTGCAGAATGAGCTCCCTTGGAGGCTGGTGCCTTTCACGATCTTTACAGTTTCACAGGAGAAGGGAAGCAAAATCTGGGACCCTGGAACAGGGATAAAATATTTGGGCTTAGTCTGGAAATCTCCCCAGCTCTCCTAATGGTTGAACTTTGGTTGCTGGGTGTAGGATTTGTCCAGCAGCTGGGTCATCCCCTTCCCTCCTCTCCCCACCCTACCTGGACTAGGAGCACATCTCTGCCATGTTCAAGGAAGTTCCTGGGCCACTGCTCAATCCTAGTGAACCCCCACTGAGTCCCTCAGCACACTCAACCCCATCTTTTATTCTTCCCAGAATTCCCTCACTGCACCCTTTGTTCTCCATTTCAGAAATGCCAGCTGTCACTTCCGGAAGGTCCTGAACAAGGGTTTTCAAAACTCTCAGGCTCTTAGGGTCTGCAACAACTACTGGATTCGGGAGGTCAGACTGGGATCAGGGTCAGGGGAAGATGGGTCAAGGTCAGTCTCTTCAAACAGGCTGGGAAAAGCAACAATCCCACTTCTTGGGTGTTGTTGCCCCAGGTTCCTGGGAGATGAAGGGTAGAGGAAATTATCCAGGGACAACAGCTCAAGAGAGTCTGGGACTGGCCAAGGGCCCTTTGTCCTGGGGTGCTAAAGTGGTCCAGGCTGAGAGAGATTAAGCTTTGGGTAGGGGCCTAGAGCCTATCCTGAGTGTGTTATTTGCTTCTAGAACCCCAATCTGAACAGTACCCAGGAGGTGAATGAGCTGCTGCTGGGAATGGCCTCCCAGATTTCGGAGCTGGAGGACAGGATAGTGGTTGAAGATCTGAGGGGTGAGCTCAGAGCCAGAAGGGGTGGATGGTATGGGGCCAGGAAGCCTGAGGATCCCTCTGGGTTCATCAGCGGGCAGACCTAGGGCACCCACGATACAGGAACACAGACACAAACACAGACTTCAAGTAGCCATAAGAAGAAAATGAACTTTCAACTTTTTTTTCTTAATTTACAGTTTTGTATTGCTTTTATTTTAAATTAACTATATCTGAGTATTGGGAAGGGGTGATATCACAATCTCTTTGGTGCTTACTTAGGTCTCTAAAGGTTTTCGTTCAGCCCTGTCTTGAAATGAGGGAGGCACAGGACAGGGAATTTACTGCTTGGTGACTAGAATAGCCTCGAGTCTTAGAGGAAGGGTCTTACTGGAAAAACTGGCCCTGATCACACATGGTGACATTGGCCTTGCAGCAAGGCAAGGTCAGCATGGGCACAGATCTCATGTGGATCGCTCGGGGTAGTGGGGAGGGAAGAACCATAGTGCTAACAGTTGGATACAAGGCTGCAGGGCAAGAAAGTGTGGAGAGAACAAAGCTCATAGTCTGGTCTTCCCTCTTCTTCAGATTACTGGCCTGGCCCTGGCAAATTCTCCCGTACAGACTACGTGGCCAGCAGCATCCAACGTGGCCGAGATATGGGGCTGCCCAGCTATAGCCAGGCCCTGCTGGCCTGGGGGCTGGACATCCCAAAGAACTGGAGTGATCTCAACCCTACTGTGGACCCCCAGGTCAGGAATAGTAATGATAATACTGGAAGCTAAAGCTTTCCTATAGCAATACTGTTCCAAACCCTAAATGTATGTTGACTCATTTAATCTACATAATAATGTCATAAGGTATATATAATCATCGTCCCCATTTTACTGATGACAGTTGGTAAATTGTAGAGGCAGGACTTAAATTCAGCCATCTGATTCCAGAGTATATTCCCAACCACTGCATTGTACCATTCCTGCAGGGTGGCTCCTGGGTTGGGTGCCATTGTCCTGTTGTTGCAGGGTCCCACACCAAGGGCTGGGTGCCCCTGAAGCTGCAAATCATTGAAGTCAGGCAGGCTGAGTAGTGATGGTCACAAGATATGGTCCTCGGGCACTTGACCATGGTCTCACCGTGGGTAGGGACACACTGAACCTTCCACCAGACTTGCCCTGTCTGAGGGGCTTACCTAAAAGAGGAAATCAGGCCTAGGCAGCAAGCCAGGCAGCTGCTGGGGTCTTGTGTCTGAGGGAGGGGGCAGGAGTGGCTGCCCTCCCCAAGAAAAGACACTGCACCACTCACCCCTATGTCCTGTGATGCTCCAGGTGCTGGAGGCCACAGCCTCCCTGTACAACCAGGACCTATCCAAGCTAGAGCTGCTCCCTGGGGGGCTCCTGGAGAGCCATGGGGACCCCGGGCCCCTGTTCAGCACCATTGTCCTCGACCAGTTTGCACGGCTGCGGGATGGTGACCGCTACTGGTTTGAGAACACCAGGAATGGGTAAGGTTTGCCTGGGCCCCCCACCTCAGACCCCTCCCTGGCCTGGGCTCCAAACCCTCTGCTTGGCCTTAGACAGCCTCTACGAGCCCTTGATTCTCAGTCACCACCCACTTTTCAACTTTCCAACCTCTCTGGGCCTTTTTTTTTGAGACAAAGTCTAGCTCTGTCGCCCAGGCTGGAGTGCAGTGGTGCAATCTTGGCTCAATGCAGCCTCCACCTCCAAAGTTCAAGCAATTCTCCTGCCTCAGTCTCCTGAGTAGCTGGGATTACTCTACTTTACTGCACCACCATGCCCAGCTAATTTTTTTTCTTTTTTTTTTTTTGTATTTTTAGTAGAGACAGGGTTTCACCATGTTGATCAGGCTGGTCTCTAACTCCTGACCTCAAGTGATACGCCTGCCTTGGCCTCCCAAAGTGTTGGGATTACAGGTGTGAGCCACCTCACCTGGCTCCTCTGAGTCTCTTTTCTCACCTGGGTCCTTGGGCCTGGGGTTGCTGGAGGCCTGCATCCCCTTTCCATCCCAGTGACTTCTACTTCCTCCATCTTAGGCTGTTCTCTAAGAAGGAGATTGAAGAAATCCGAAATACCACCCTGCGGGACGTGCTGGTTGCTGTTATTGACATTGACCCCGGTGCTCTGCAGCCCAGTGTTTTTGTCTGGCATAAAGGTGAGTGTCCTGGGAGAACACAAGTGAGTGACAGTGGCCAGAGAAGGATCAAGATTGAGAGTGTGCTGACCAGGGAGCCAGACACCTTCTGTGTTGGACTGGGAGGCCTGCATTAGGCTGGGACCTCAATTGGCACACAAGCTGCTCCCTACAGTTGAGAAGGGGAGGATGGGGTAGATGCCAAGAGATGGGATGTGGATGGCAACTTTTCGAGGGAGACAGTTTCAGGGAGGTGGGCCTGGGGAAGACAGATGATATCTTGGTCCTTGATAAGATAGAGGGGAAACAGGTCTGGCCAAGTTGAGGGATCCTCAGACTTTGAGGTCTTCTGTGCCCTCTCCCTCAGGTGCACCCTGCCCTCAGCCTAAACAGCTCACAACTGATGGCTTGCCCCAGTGTGCACCGCTGACCGTGCTTGACTTCTTTGAGGGCAGCAGTCCTGGTTTTGCCATCACCATCGTGGCTCTCTGCTGCCTTCCTTTAGGTGAGCTCTTATGCAGTGTCCCCGCAGACTGGTCCTGCCCCTCATTTCCTGCTGGCCTGAGGGATTGGCTATTTGATACAGTTTGAGACCAGGCTCAAGGAACCTTTGGAAGGGAGGGGCCATGGTGGAAGCCTCAGTGAAGTTCTAGGTAACGCTCCCTCCTCACTGCCTCCTTCTGATCCCCTTCAGTGAGTCTGATTCTCTCTGGAGTGGTGGCCTATTTCCGGGGCCGAGAACGCAAGAAGCTACAAAAGAAAGGCAAAGAGAGCATGAAGAAGGAAGCAGCCAAAGATGGAGTGCCAGGTGAGAAGGGGCTGAGCAGAGGAGAGGGGAGGGAAGAGGGAAAGGGAGGGTGGAGTGGGGAGGAGTCTGGGAGAGAGAACCAAGTTACAGAGTGGGAGGAAAGCCAGGCTTTAGGGTGCCTGCTCAGACTCCAGTGGAATCAGCCTGAGGGCGGGGACCTGGGGACATCTGCTGAACTACCTGGCCCAATCATCCTGTCCCCAGCGATGGAGTGGCCAGGCCCCAAGGAGAGAAGCTGTCCCATCATCATCCAGCTGCTGCCAGACAGGTGTCTGCAGGTCCTAAACAGGCGTCTCACTGTGCTCCGCCTGGTCCAGCTGCAGCCTCTGCAGCAGGTCAACCTCGTCGTGTCCAGCAACCGAGGGTGCCGCACCCTGCTGCTCAAGATCCCCAAGGAGTACGACCTGGTATGGCTGGTCCTCCCTGTGCGGGCTGCCCTCACACGACTCCACTCTCATAAGTGAGGCCTCTTAGGCCCCCCATCCTCAGTTATAGAGCTCACCTATGACAGCTGCTGCTGGGGAGAGGGGCTCCTTTCAGAGGCCCCCAGACTCAACCTGACCCCCTTTGGCCACACACCTGGCCCCGGCCTGGATGCAAGGCAGGAGCTTTTCTCCCCTCCTCTCAACCCAAGATCCTTTAAGGGGAGGCGGAAGCAGAAGCTCCAGGAAGCTCCCTGTATCAGTGCCGCCTTCCTCTACCCAGGTGCTGCTGTTTAGCTCCGAAGAGGAACGGGGAGCCTTTGTGCAGCAACTACAGGACTTCTGTGTGCGCTGGGCTCTGGGCCTCCATGTGGCTGAAATGAGTGAGAAGGAGCTATTTAGGAAGGCTGTGACCAAGCAGCAGCGGGAACGCATCCTGGAGATCTTC